TAACATGAATAGAAATCTGTAACAGAAGGTAAAAAGTATTCGGAAAACAAGGTAACATCTCTACATAGCCCACCGATCCGGTGTCACGAGTCAAGAGCCTCTAATACAAGTTTGAGAAACAGCCTAAACAAAAGATAGTCTAAAATACTGAAAATAAGGAGGATAGAGGGAGAAATCGGGTCTGCGGACGCCATGCAGCTACCTCGATGACTCCGGTGAGATCTGGACAGCAGAAATAGCTCAAACTACGCCTCAGGGATACCTGTATCTGCACACACGGTGCATGGAGTAATGTGAGTACTTCGACCCAGTGAGTAATAATAATAAATAATGACTGACGGAAAGAAATCACACAGAAAGCACTAAGCAGTTCTACATCAAAGCAGTAAGAACATTTAAACAGCAACTAAATGAAGAAGTCAGGCAAAATCCTTTAAACCTGTACTCATCTCATATACTTTTCACAATAACTGAAGTCACAATTATACAGCTGCGGCGTGCAGCCCGATCCGTATTTCGCTGTGGCGCACAGCCCAATCCATAATAAATATATTGCTGCGGCGTGCATCCCGATCCAATAATAATAGTCAACTGCGCTCACTGGGGGTGTGCAGACTCCGGAGGGGCTCCTACAGCCCAAGCGCTATACCGCTACGGCGTGCAGCCCGATCCATATAATATACTGCTGCGGCGTGCAGCCCGATTCATACAATATACTGCTGCGGTGTGCAGCCCGATCCATATATATATATATATATATATATGTATATATACACCTTGCTGTGGCGTGCAGCCCGATCCATAACATATAAGTCATCCTCACTATTGGGTTCTCAACCCCTCTTAGTCAATATAAACTTCGCCCCTCGGGCATACTAAGATAAGATAGGGATCCCAGCCCACGTATTGCTCACATTTTGGTTTAGCTATTTCAAAAGCCGGTTCATATTTTATTAAACAGTTAGAAACATGACTGAGGGTATGGTTTTTAACAAGTAAAGTGAGGTCAATCAGTACGAATGCCCCTAAGGGTTCTACATGTCGGCACAAGGCCCCAAACATGGCAACTAGCCCAAATCATGATGATAAATCAGTTTAATCAAATACGTAGTAAAATATCAAACGAGACGGACCAAGTCACAATCCCCAGTAGTAACAACCTCGTGCTCGCCATTAAGCGCGTGTTTCACTTCAATATAGCACTACGTTGTGCGAATCCGGGGTTTCAAACCATCAGGACATCATTTATAACCATTACTCATCCCAAGCCGGGCAAACTCCTAGCTCGCTATGCCCTTGCCTCGCAAATCAACCTCTTCGCGCGTCGAATCTGGACAAAACCACAATGAATACGTTACAATAGGCTAAGGGAATGTAACCCAATCGAAAAGACTCGAAAAACATCAAAATTCACGAAATTGGCAAAACCCGACCCCGGGCCCACTTTTCGAAAAATCAGAAAATTAACATCACCGGATTCCTTATCTCGCCACGATTCTATACATATCAAAATTACCAAAATCAGAGTCCATTTGACCCCTCAAATTCCACTTTGAAATACCAAATTCCCAAGCCCTAGATTTACCCTCTTTTGATGAATTTCCACAAATTTCCGTGTTAATTCTACCATTAAATCACGTATTTAGGCCAAGGAACTCACCTCCAATCACACCTAGTCGAAATCCCCTTCAATTTCCGTCCAAGAGCTCTCAAGGTCGATAAAAAATGGTGGAAATGAACTTAAGCTCGTGGAACAAAATGAGTTTTAAACCCTTCTCTGAACAGTGATTTTCGCATTTGCGGTTCCTTTACCGCATTTGTGGCTACCGCTTCTGCGGTTATACCTCCGCTTCTGCGGATCCTTATTAAGTCCACGACCGCTTCTGCGGTCCTCTATCCGCATTTGCGGACCTCTCTTCTTTGGATAATTGTTCGCTTCTGCGGAAACACCATGGCTTCACCCTTTCACACATGCGACTCTTCCACCGCATCTGCGGTCACGCAGATGCGGCTCCCCTTCCGCATCTGCGCAATCTTCCATCCAGGCCAAATGACCGCACCTGCGAGCCTTCTTCCGCACCTGCGCAACCGCATCTGCGGTTCCTTTTACCGCAGATGCGAAAATACCAGAAACCAGATACACAGCAATCTCATAAGTCCAAATTTCATCCCGATGGCCATCCGAAATCACCCCGAGGCCCCCGGGACCTCAACTAAAAGTGCCAACCCATCCTAAAACATCATTCAAACTTGCTCCAATCATCAAAACACCACAATTAACTCCAAAACTATCAAATTTCATTGGATTCAAGCCTAAGTTCTTCTAAAACTTCCGAATTACGCATTTGATCAAAAAACCGACCAAAACACCTCCATATGATCTGAAATTTTGCGCACACATCCAAAATCACCTAACGAAGCTACAGCAACTCTCGAAATCCCATTCCGACCCTCGGATCAAAATCTCACCTATCAACCGGGATTCGCCAAAATACTAACTTCGCCAATTCAAGCCTAATTCTACACCGGACCTCCAAAATCAATTCCGATCACGCTCCAAAGTCACAAATCATCCCCCGAAGCTAACCAAATCACCAAAAATCACATCCGAGCCCTCTAACTCACAAGTCAACATCCGGTTGACTTTTCCAATACAAACCCTCCTTAAAGAGACTATATGTCTCATTTCCATCCAAAACCAATCCAATTTGACTCATTCACTCAAGACTCTTATAATAAAACATAAGAAAACAGAAAATGGGGGAAACGGGGCGGTAACTCACGTGACGACGGGCCGGGTCATCACATCCTCCCCAACTAAAACAAACGCTCGTCCTCGAGCGGGTCAAGAAGCATACTTGAAGTCTCAAACAGCTGAGGATATCTGCTCCGCATCTCCCGCTCGGTCTCCCAAGTAGCCTCCTCCACGGGCCGACCTCTCCACTGCACCTTCACCGAAGCTATATCCTTTGATCTCAACTTTCGAACCTGACGACCTAAAATAGCCATTGGCTCCACATCGTCCAACTGAACAGTGCTGAAATCCAGTACATGAGACGGGTCCCCAATATACTTCCGGAGCATAGAAACATGAAATACCGGATGCACGCCTGACAAGCTGGGTGGCAAAGCAAGCTTATAAGCCACCTCCCCAATCCTCCTAAGTACCTCAAAAGGTCCAATAAACCGCGGACTCAGCTTCCCTTTCTTCCCAAACCGCATAACACCCTTCATGGGCGAAACCTTCAACAAGACCTTCTCACCCACCATATATGACACATCTCGAACCTTCCGGTCCGCATAACTCTTCTGACGCGACTGTGCTGTACGAAACCTCTCCTGAATCAGCTTCACCTTCTCTAAGGCATCCTGAACCATCTCTGTCCCCAATAACCTAGCCTCGGCGGGCTTGAACCATCCCACCGGAGACCTACACCGCCTCCCATACAACGCCTCATACGGAGCCATCTGAATGCTCGACTGATAACTGTTGTTGTAGGCAAACTCTGCAAGCGGCAAAAACCCATCCCAAGAACCTCCAAAATCAATAACGCAGGCACGCAACATGTCCTCCAATATCTGAATAGTACGCTTCGGACTGTCCGTCCGTCTGGGGATGAAATGCTATGCTCAACTCCACCTGAGTACCCAACTCCCGCTAAAAAGTCTTCCAGAACTGAGAAGTGAACTGAGTACCCCTATCTGAGATAATAGACACTGGAAACCCCATGCAATCGGACAATCTCCCGGATAAACGNTAATATAGGTAATTATACTAATGAAAATTAAAAATTAAATTTGTATTAAAGATAAAACGAACGAAAATTTACATAATAAATAGGCTGACAGTGAAAATATTACTACCACATTTAGATATAATGTGTTCAAACAACTAAGAAAATATTTTTTTATGATTAATATCTGAATTGAGTGCAGTTAGTATAAGTTTGAAAGATAGCATAATTTTTTGAAACTGCGTTCCAATTTACAAAATAGAATGACAAGAATTATTTGAATTTGAGATGAGATTTTTTTTATTTCATAATTATTTTATTTTGGAAATATTACGGAAAGAAATAAAATGACATTAAATATATTACTACAAACATATAATATGTTCAAACAATTAAGAAATTATTTTTTATATTAAAATAAAAATTTAAGAATATAAAATAACTTTCTAATATATATAATTTTATTAATGAAAATTAAAAATTAAATTTATATCTTAAAGCAATAAAACATTTAACTGCAACTTAATCAAAAATAATTATAAGAGAACTCAATACATTTGGAACATAATCATCAAAAAACTTATGTATTAATATTTTAGCCTACATCAATTTTACAATTTAAAATAAAATATGATATTATTTTTGTTATAGGTAAAATATTAATGTAAAAACTAATTAAAATTTGTAGTAGGAAAGAGAATGTATAAAAATAGAGATAGTGTGAGGATACTTATACATTAAATCAATTTAAAAATAAATAAATTAAAAAATTAAATTATATTTAATAATATTACTATACATTTAATTGATTAAGAAATTGAGGATACAAGCATAAAAATATACCAAATTTCAAGAATAAAATATTTCTATTTATTAAAGACTTTTAAAAGAATGATAAGCAAGACATTAATTTAATTATTAAGCTAATAAAATATTATATAATAGTACAATAATATTAAATAATAAATAATACAATAACTATAAGAAAAAAACAAAAAGGAAAAAGAATTTGTGTGCAAATAATGTGATGAATAAGACATATTTAACTTTTAGATAAAAACAAAGTGATAGTAAGAAGTTAGTTAAAATAATATGACCTATTGTGCTCAAACAACAAAAGTTAAAAAGCAATAGGAAGTAAATCGCTCCTCGAGAGGCGCACGTTACGCAAGGAATAGCTAACGTACGCCTACTCCGATGACCCACCGGAAACGACGCAATGACATAACCCTGGATGCAGACCCGAAGGTGAGCTCATAAAATAGAATGGTTACGCCGGAATCTGGAGTTCCCCAAACCCTAGAACCGCCTCAATTGGTTCACTGGATGCAAGGAATGGGGAGTGCTCCCACAATTTTGCAAGCTCCGACGAAAGAGGAACCAGTGAAGGTGAAAGAAGCTAAAAAACCAGAAGAGGCAGATGCGAACTTGGCAGCACGAAAACTTACCTTCTCAGTCGAGTCGCATGAGACAAAGATTACCCTAGCAGATGTGGTACGAGGAAATCGATCCATACATCAGGGTTCGAAACTTGAGTACTACGCGCCGGTTATGAAAGAAGGGATAAAAGTGGTCCGACTCAATCAAATTGAAGTAGAAGAGGAAATCAGAAAGTGGAAATCAAGCTTGATTGGGTATGTATTAGGTGGGTCGCCGACATTTAAGGATATGCTGAAATTCGTCTATGGAGTTTGGCAATTTGTGGACACACCACAGGTATACCTTCATGATGATGGATATTTTATATTCCGCTTCCTGAATGATGAAGATAAGAGGAAGGTGTTAGAGTTTGGGCCTTATACTTTCAACAATCGACCTATGATCTTAAAACAATGGGAGGCAGAGTTTGATATTACAAAAGAAACTAATCGAATTGTTCCTACTTGGGTAACTCTACCTGGGCTGCCAATTCAATACTGGGCAATTGAAAATTTGGGCAGAATTGCGAGTTATCTAGGAAGACCAATATGCACTGATAAACTGACTGCACAAGGAGACAGAATCACATATGCTAGAATACTGGTGGACATAGACATCTCTCAGCCTCTCCCAGAGCATATACTGATTGAGGATGAGAAAGGGGGACTCAAAGAGCAGCAGCTGGAATATGAGTGGAAGCCTTCCTATTGTCAGGATTGTCTACAAATAGGACATACAACTAGAAAATGCAACAAGGAACAAGAGAATGAAGCTCTACATGAGAAGGGTGAAGAGCAGAACCGGAGAAGAAGAAGACAAGGGCAGAAAAAAACAGCAAACAACCCAATGGAAAGTGAAAGACAATAAGACTCAACCACCAAATCAGGAACAACAAAAGGAAGAAATCCCTAAGCAGACTGAGGAAAAAATGAACAATGATGAATAGGGCAGAATAGTGAAGGGAAAAATTAGAATGGTGAATCAAGAAGATGAATGGAAGGAAGATGCCATGACTGATGAAGAAGTAGAAAGGCTGCTAAGCAAAAACGGATTCAGCTCATTGAGAATTCAACCAAAAGAGAATTCCAAAAGTTTGGAAAGGGACACTAGCACCTCTGATAAGTTACCCCCATGATAGTCTGTTCATGGAACATCAGAGGGCTAAGTAAGCCCTTTAAGCAGAAGGAACTCAAGGCCTTCCTGCTTAAGAATAAAGTGTCCATAATAGGATGCCTTGAGACAAAAGTGAAAGAGAATAAAGTAGCTAAAGTGAAAAGGAAATTTGAAGAAGAATGGACAATCTATGCCAATTATACTGTAGCTCCTAAAGGGATGATTTGGATGCTGTGGAAAGATCATATAGTAGAAGTCCATGTGGTTATGGCAAGTCATCAGATGGTCCATTGTATTGTGAAAGAAAGATGTTCTGATTTCTCATGTGAATTGACCTTTGTCTATGGCTACAATACAAATGCAGAGAGGAAAGAAATGTGGAATGGTTAGTGATGGGAGATTTTAACACAATTCTATCAATCACTGATAGAATAAATGGAAATCTTGTAAATCAAACAGAAGTGTAGGACTTTCGAAATTGCATAACTGATTTGGGCTTAGGACAGCTGAACAGGAAGGGTTGGCAATGGTCTTGGTGCATAGAATCTATAGTAACATTGATTGGGTATTTGGGAATCCTCAATGGTTCATGCTCCATAGTGAGATTGAAGCTTACTATGATTGCCCTGGAGTTTCAGACCACACACCAATTATTATTAGCACAGACAAAACCAAGCAAAGGATGCCCAAACCATTTAGATTATTCAATGCTATCCTAAACCAGAAAGAATTTACAGAAGTAGTACAACAGGTATGGGAACAGAAGATAGAGGGGTATGCTATGTACTCAGTGTAGAGAAAATTGAAGATGATTGAGCAGAGTGCAAAACACATGAACAGAGAGTTATCATCCTTGGATAGGAAGCTGAACCTTATGAGAGCTGAACTAGAAGAGGTACAGCTGCAGATGAGAACTGACTTATTCAAGGGTCAGTTAATCACCAAGGAAAAAGAATTGCCACAACAGATAGAAAAATGGGAAGGTATATTCAGGAGCAGGTCTTAAGGTAAAAGTCTAGGGCCACTTGGATCCAAGCTGGGGATTCAAATTCAAAGTTCTTTCATGCCCAAATAAAAGCTATGAAAGCTAGAAACAGAATAGGGTCTATATGCAATGATCAAGGTATCAGGTTGACTGAACCAAAGCTGGTGGAAAAAGAGTTTGTTCAATTTTTTCAGAAGCTAGTGGGTACCTGTGCAGATGAACTACCTTGTCTTGATATCAACATTGCTAAGCTTGGTCCTTTCTTAACTAAAGAACAAAAAATGGTGATGTTGAAACAGATTACAAGGGAAGACATTGCTCAGGTAGTTAAAGAACTACCAAATGATAAAGCCCCGGGCATTGATGGATACACAACTGAATTCTTTAAGCACTATTGGGAGGAAATTGGTACAGAAATTACAGAGGCAGTATTGGAATTCTTTGCAAGTGGGAAACTATTAAGGAGTATCAACTGCACAACAGTTACCTTGGTGCCTAAAGTAGCAAGTCCTACCTATGTAAAAGAGTACAGACCAATTGCATGCTGCACTACCTTGTACAAGGTGATAGCTAAAATCCTCACAGAGAAGCTGAAAACAGTGGTAGATTATGTGGTAGGACCTGCACAGTCTGCATTTATTGAAAGGAGGAACATATTGGATAATGTAATACTGGCACATGAATTAGTCAGAGGTTACACACAAAAAGGTGTATCCCCCAGATGCTTAATCAAGATAGACATAAGGAAGGCATTTGACTCAGTAGAATGGCCATTCCTAAGAATGATTCTGTTAGAATATGGTCTGCCAGTGAAGATAGTAGAACTGATAATGGAATGTGTTACAACTGTGAGTTATTCATTGCTTCTCAATGGGGGTTTGACAGCCAAGTTCCAGGCAAGAAAGGGATTGAGACAGGGGGATCCTATGTCCCCCTACTTGTTTGTTTTAGTTATGGAATACCTAAATAGAAGCTTGAAGACTCTTGATCAGATTCCAGACTTTAACTACCATCCAAGATGTGCCAAACTCAAAATAACACATATTTGTTTTGCAGATGATTTGATTATGTGTTGCGGAGCTGATAGAGTATCAATACAGTTAATGCTAAAGGCATTCCATCACTTCTCTAAAGTATCTGGGCTGCAGGCAAATATGGAGAAAAGTTCCTTTTATGTGGCAGGAGTAACTGAGGAGTTCAAGAACCCGATACTCTCTGAAATGCATTTTATATTAGAAGAATTCCCATTCAAGTACTTGGGAGTGCCACTGTCAACAAAGAAGTTAACAATAGCTCAATGTATGCCATTGGTAGAAAAAATCATAGCAAGAATCAAGTGTTGGACCACCAAATTTCTATCATATAGTGGCAGACTGCAATTGATCAAAAGTGTACTATTCGAAATGCAAACATATTGGGCACATGTATTCCTAATTCCAAAGAAGATAATTCACATGGTTACTACTGCTTGTAGGACATTCCTCTGGACAGGAAGCACTGAGATTTCAAAAAGATCCCTGGTGGCATGGGAGAAACTTTGTATGCCAGATTCAGCTGGAGGGTTAGGGATACTGGACTTTTATTCTTGGAATAAGGCTGCATTGTGCAAGATACTATGGGCCATCAGTACAAAAAAGGACATACTTTGGGTGAAATGGATCCATAATTTTTATATTAAGAATAGGAATGTCAGCACAATGGCAACACCAAAGCAAGCATGCTGGATTATCAGGAAAGTGTTTGATACAAGAGAATGTTTCGAGGCTATAAGTACAACAGGAGACATCAATTAATTCTGCAAACAAGGGAAGTTTAGCATCAAGACAATGTATACAACATCAGGACCTCAATATCAGAAAGTCACTTGGAAGAATCTTATGTTGGGAGACACCACCATACCAAGGCATCGATTCATTCTATGGCTAGCTCTCAACCACAGGTTGACAACAGTGGATGATTGGCAAAATGGAAGATTGATGTTCCAAAGGAATGTGTGTTATTTATTAGCCAGAAGAAGAGACGTTGGATCACCTTTTCTTTGAATGTGCTTATGCTAAATCCATATGGACAGCATTGCTAGGCTGGTTGAAAGAAAAACATAGCGTTGGAAGTTGGGAAGTGGAATTGAAATGGCTGACCAAGAGGATAAAAAGCAGCAGACCACGAGCTCAAATCATCACATTTCTTTTTGCAGCAACAGTATACTACACATGGATGGAGAGGAACAACAGAAGATTTCAGAATCAGTTTGTTACATATGCAGATAGAGTTCGAGAAATAGCCTTGCAGCTGCATATCAAAGGCCAGAACAGGAGCAAATGGAAGGCAGTACTAGAACAGTTGAATAGATATCCTAGCGGGAACAATGTATAAATCAGGGAGAGAATAGGAAAGTACGTAGCTATAGTTATGAGAATAGAAAATCTGTGAAGGATCTAGCTCTAGAGTCCCATGGGCTAGCGGATGTAAATATTTCCATTGGTTAAATACAAGTTTAATTTGACCCAAAAAAAAAAAATACAAAGTACTCCAAGGTACACTTCTCAAGAAGTTATCTATTTGTCCTTTTGTAGTATTACTGACCTCTCCTTTACCAATGCAAATCTTCAATTATNAAAAAAAAAAAAAAAGACATATCACAACATGATATGTTTAGTATTCTTTAATATTGACAACGAAATGAAATGCAAGACTAAAATCAAGGGGTTAGGTTGCTACAAACATATATATATATATATATATATATATATATATATATATATATATATATATATATATATATATATATATATATATAGGTTATGCACTACGAGATTTTAGTTTCATATCCTACTTAATATCTAATGTTATATAATTTTTATCTAAGAGGTTTATATTTTAAGATTATTTGCACATGATTCAAACAACCTACATCATAATTTAACATGATTTGTGTCCGCGCATCGCACGAGTACTAATACTAATTAATTTAACAACAATCTCATTTTAAAACATGTTTAAAAGCGTAACCAAATTGTCGACAAATAAAAAATATAAATGACTCCTTAATAAACCTGAATACAAAATGAAAAACTCAATATGAAATCAAAACGGTGATACTTTCTATTTTTGGAAAATACGGGTAAAACATTATCTTAAACTCGTGAAGTTACAGTGACGTAGCAATGAAATACAAATAAAATAAGGGACAATAGCACTTTTAGTTCCTCACTTATTGATAATTTCTAACTTTGTCCTTGCAATATATGATTAAAAATATTTATTCGTTAATTCATTAAAACATGTGTCTTTGATCCCTCTATGTAGGAAGTGTTTTACACTTAGACTAATTTTTTTTGGAATTTTTACCTCCTATAGCAAAGGTTGATATCTTGTTTATTTTAAATAAATACTATTTTAAAAAATTATATTCCATAGCTACCTTTTGATTTTTAAAGCCAAATATTTATTTATGGTCACCTCCCCCTTAAGCCATAAAATACGCTGCCTTCTCTCCCGTAAGATACGCTGCTCTCTCTTTCTCAACCCTCTCTCTCTCAACGCCAGTTTTCTCCATGAATACAAACTCATGGATTCTCTCTCATCAGTTCCTCCGTCGATCGTTCTTTTGAGTAGTCAACAGGAATTTTTTTGCATCTACTTTCTTCAAGGATTTTGGAGAATCAATGATAAAGATGGGCAAAATTGGAGTCCTTACTGGAAAAGTCAAGGAAAGAACCTTTGAGGAGCACGTATTCTGTCACCATTTGTATCAATCAAGCAGAAAGCT